ACGGAGAGACTTGAGCCGGCGCTGCCACCATTTGGTTCCGAAGTGCTCAGGATGTTCACGCAAGCTGTTGGTGACAGTACATCACCATCACCATCACCATCACCATCACCATCACCATCACCATCACCAACACCAACACCAACACCAACACCATCACCACCATTGCAGCTGCCGCCACCACCACAACCACCATCATCACCACCACCACGAACATCATTATCATCATCATTGTCATAATCATCACCATCATCATCATCATCATCATCATCGTCGCCGTTGTCGCACAATGTCGTAAGAATTGCTCAGCAAGGCAAATTTTATCAATGGTGCTACCGCTGGTGTACCTGTTCCTTGTCTCCTTGCGCAGAAGGCCACAAGTCTCTGTGCTTTACACTCGTTGCTTTCAGCAAATATTCGCAAACCTTCCACCAAGCGTCCGTGTCCAGGGGAGCCCCGTTGCACATGTTATAGTTTCTGTCGAACAGGTAGGTCTTGTTGTTGATCTTTGGGTGCACCCTTGGACAAGAATCCACGTCCACCCAGATTTCTTTCAATCACTGCACCCCAAAGTTATTATGGTGCAGTTCCTTCTTGTCATTCGGTTTCCAGGTCCAAAATTCTGGGCCTCCGAATCGGGAATCTGTAACCGAGGACATGCGGAGTAGGCCCACGAAGAACTGCTTGAAACACAAAATGAAAAACACATGCTGGTTCCTTTTGAATGCCTCTTCAAGAACCTCAGTGAGGTGCGGGTTGGCAGCCCATCTTTGACCTTGTTCCTCAGGAGGCTCTTTGTCCGGATGATAGCCAAGGACGCTGAGAACAAGGCTTTCCACTGAATCCGCCGAGCACCTCAAGAGAAAAAGCGCAGTCTCGCTTTTTCTGACCCGATGACCCTGCCAGTTGACTATCTCCGCAGGCTTCTCGACAAGGATGTTTGGTCTGCCGAAAGTGAGTACTTTGATCACCGGGTTGCTGTCTGGCATGTCATAATCACCGACCAGTTGATCCCCTCTCTGCACTCGGGCCTTTGTTTCGGCGGAAAAGGCGCCCTTGTCGTTTAGAAGCTTTGCCTGCCAAGCATTAAGTACACGCCGATCTGCCAAGAGCTGCTTCGTCAACCGATCTTCCAGTAGCTCGCCTGACACTTCAACCTCAAAAACATCACGCCACAACTCGGAAGCCATGTGCTCAGCCATTGGACAACCGCCTCAACCAAGACTAGACAAATCTTTCTCAGAACCCCAAACAGAGATCCTGATTTTCAAGCATGTAATGGATGCCCCTATCTCTGTCGTAGCAATGCAGCAGTGGATGAAAAGTCTCTTTCAAACCTTGAACCCGGGATGTCTTTTTTCGATACCGGCCGCCAACCCAACATGCCTTAGTTTTGGGTAGAGCTGATGGGGTAGTGTCTGTCATGATGTTTGTTAACCTTACGGGGATACGGCGGTTACATCTGCACCAAAATGGGCATGATACTCCCTCACTTATTTTGCGTGCAGGCGTTGGCAAGTCTTCATGCATAGTTAGTTCTAGGCCCACCATTTCAGAAATCTAAAAGTATATCGTGAACAGATAACCAATAAGACTTTGAAACCCTCTAAAGGTTGCAACAATAGTGGGCCCCGTCGTGACATAGACAGAGTTTACTGCTTCTGCGGGTAGCAGTCCGTGAACCACAGGAGTCACGCTCAACTATCTTTTCTGACATGGCGTCTTGCGCACCACGGTCTCAGGACTGTAACTACTGCTCACCACAGCTTATAAGTGCTCCTCAACAAATCGGTGCTCTCGGCTCAACAAGACTGGCACTGTTGCTACGTGTACACTGACAGCATCGCTGGCGCCTCTGGCACGAATCGCTCGATCGTGAAGGTATCAATCAAGGAGCCATTCGTCGATTCCACCAAATCGAACTTCATCTTCGTGCGGCTTTCAAAGTATAGCTTGGCATAGCCAAGGGAGGCTTGGCGGATCACAGACCAGTCGGGGCATGACTCCCACTTGTCGGTCAGGCCTTCGGAATCTCCAGCATTGCCAATTACTGCGTGCACGGTGGCCTTCGGATGGGCACATGGTCGGGGTTTCATTCGGCTTCCGATGCAGGGCTTTGGCTTACCTTAAACCCGAAACCCTAAAAACAAAATTGCCTTGGGGTTGGTGTAGCTTTTGGCCACGGTCACATTCTGCATCACGGGCCAGGTGCGTTCGTAGTTGTGCAGATGGCCTCCCAAGAACAAGTCCACCTCGCAGGACACTGAAGTGCTCTTGCAGACTTGGTCTCTGTGGCAACTATAGTTTCATGAACCCCAAATAGTAATAATAGTAACGATAATAGGGTTAACAATAATTTATAGTAACGACAATGATACGAATACCTCGAAATAGTTGCCCGTCCAACCTTGTGATCTTGGAATAGTGGCTCCAGCTCCCGACGAAGGCGAATGCTGTTGATGTTGCAATCGTAGTAATCATTCGTGGAGCAGTAAAGGGGCTTGTGTGCGAACACGACGATCCAGGGTACCTTGTCCCTGTTAGCAGAAGCGGCCTCTAAATCTTGTTTGATGAACGATAGCTGCATGTCGAGATGGTGCTCGGTGGAAAAAGTCAAGAAATGGACACCACCGTAGTCGAAGGAGTACCACAAGTTACCGTTGTCATGAGCAGCACCTGGCATCGTAAACCGAACTTTGTAGCCCGTGAAATTGTTGAAGTGTTCGTGGTTTCCTACGCAAACCATGTACGGTCGCTCCCGTGCGATAGGTTCGATCTCTGTCATGAAGTGATCCCAGATGGTTTCATCTCCCCCTGTGTATGCGATATCGCCAGCGTGCAGGAGCATGGTGTACGATGTATCGGCAACCAAAGAGGCAATGGTTGCATTTCCACATCCTTCCTTGTCACAGTTTTCTCCCAAGTCAGCAACCGCGGCGATGGTGATGGGAAGGTGGCCAACAGGAGGTGGCGTCTGGAATCCGTGCCAGGATTCGCCATCGCATGAATAAGACAAGGGCGTGCTCTCGGGGAGTTCGTCCATTCTAACCGAATGGATCCGGCCGGACCATCCCTGGTTCTTGTACAACCGGGATTTGCCAACATAGGAGCGCATGGGTCTCGTGCTGTTAGGATGGCGAATGCTGCAAGTTGAATTTCCTGGGTTGGCCTTTAAACCCTCTGAAAAATATTTATATAAAGAGTCCCCTTATAAACCCAAATAAGGAAAATACAAATGTCCCAAAAACCGACCTAGTTTCTGTATGAGACACTGCTAACGAATGTCACGGTGACAACGGTCGGCTTCTCCCCCAAGGCCAGATGCAATTGCTTCGGGCCACCAACAGCAGCCGCAGATACAGCGGTGCAGCAAAGAGCCACGCACAGAGCCGCGCAGGGACATCGCGGCGACATGTTGATGACTTCCAAGACTTTCCAATGCGAATGATATGGCACTGGGCAGTTGCATGGGAAAGGGGATACAATTACATCTTACTCTTTGCATCTTACTCTATGGCTGCGCCCAAACTACATGTCAATACAGGCATCCTTGAGATACAAAAACCAGCCTCTGCCACAACAGTCCTGCTCCCGTCCCCTTTCACGATGTCCAGCCTTCCTTACAAAAAGGACCTACGCCGCCTCACGACATGGAATGGCATGCGTAGGCTCTTGGACACCCCCTTTCTCCAGCCGATCGCAGTCGCATCACGTAAAGCTCGCTCAGCGACGTCGAGCCGAACCGCTTATGGCTCCTACGGCCTCGCAACACTCTGCCCGAAAGCCCAAACGCCGGTTTACAGTAACCCACAAATTAGTCTGCAAGGCCGAGACTAACTCCACACCCCGACCCCGGTCGCCTGCTCAGCTGGTCTCCTCACTGTTTTGGGTTTCCTGACAAGAATCATAGCAAGCTCTCCAGCATAGTTAGCTGTGATCCCACAACTCAATCCCATCAAGGAGGTTGCTGAAAAGTTGCTGGTATCGAGATGGGGATCTAGGTTTACAGACTCTTAACAGGAATCCCAAAACCCAGAGCCTAGAAACCCACGCTCGGGTGCTAGTGTGAGATCCTGAACAAGCACCATGTAGCATCAACATTTCCAAATGTCAACCGACACCTACACTGAAGCATTGGACTCTTCCCTTCTGATCCGAAAACCTCGATGGTGACGACAACGACAACTGCAACACAGCGTGTCTACAACCTGCCACCCCGGAATTACTGGTTGTTGCCAGGTGGTGTTCATGATGAAAAAACAAGATGATGATGCTGCTGCTGATGATGATGATGATGCTGATGCTGATGATGATGGTGATGACGGTGATGATGAAGACGATAACGATAACGATGGCGATGACGATGATGATGATGATGATGATGATGGTGATAATGATGATGATGATGATGATGATGATGATGATAATGATGATGATAATGATGGTGACGGCGGTGATGATAATGATGATGATGATGAAGGTGGTGATGATGATAATGATGATGATGAAGATGATGATAAAGGTGACCATGATGATGATGATGATGATGATAATGGTGGTGATGATGATAATGGTGATGATGATGATTAAGGTGGGCATGATAATGGTGATGATGACTATGGTGAGGATGATGATGACGATGATGATGATTGTGAGGATGATGATGACTGATGATGATGATGATGATGACTGATGATGCGGATGATGATGATGGACATACCTTCTTGAAGCATTGCAGATAATGGTGATGTTGCTGAAGATGATGCTTCTTGATCTTGATATTGACTGTGCAGGCGGCCGTGATTGTGGTGATGATACCAGTGGGAAGACAGTATACATTCTGCTGCGACCTACTAGTCCCTACGATGCACATGGCCATGATCAGATCAATGCTGGTGAAGAATGCCTGGGCGATCACAGCCGTGCGACTAGCAAATTTATTTTTCATGTCGTTGACCGCGGGCATGACACTGTTGCAGTGGGCATCAGAGGTATGGTGCTGAAGACGTCACTACCGCTGATGATGATTACGGTGATGACAGTTAGTTAAAGAATCGATTATTCTTGGGATGATGATGCCGATGTGATGACGGTGATGAACATACTGTCGTGGTGATTGTCACTCCGACGTCAGCAGTGCCGTCTATGCTGCCTCCGCCTCGGCATCGTCTTCGTGAGGGGTCTGGCTCAAAGAAGGAATGGCTTCTGCTGTAGTGGTTGTTTCCTGCTCTGGCACCGTTCTTCGTGTAGTTGCCTGCTGGTGATTCTCAGACTCCTTTTGAGCAACCTGTGTTGATGTTGTGGATTCTGGAGCTTCCGGCTTCTGCAGCGAGGCGTCGGATGGCATCTCTGCATCACTTGGGTCTGTGCCTGTTGCTGTCGTTGTCGTCTCTTCGGTGATCGCGTCCGTGTCCGTCGCTGCGCCTTTGCTGTCTGTCTCTTCCTTCAACGCTGCCTTTGGTGTCGGGTTGGGCTGTGGGGAGATGCCTGGACCTGGACCTTCAGGCTCCAAGGCATATTCTTCCGATGTGCTGACAGGGACCGCGCTTTCGGCAGGATTCGCTTCTCTGGTGGTACTGGGCTCCGGGGTTTTGGTGGTTGCCAAGTCTGCTTCTGGCGCTTCGGTGCTGACACCCGGAGCCTTCTCGAAAAAGATTTCTTCTGGACCTTCAGGCTCTGTAGCAGGTGCTCCTGACTTGGTGACCGTGTCGTCGCCACCATCGCTGTTTGTGTTCTCTTTGAACTCCGGGGCTGTGGTCGTAGCAGTCGCCGCGTCTGCTTCTGGTGCTGCGGGGCTCCCACCCGAATGCTGCTCTTCCTGCGCGTGAGTGCTACTCCAAAGGTCGTCTTCCTCTGATCTGCCGGTGCTCTTATCGTTATCGAAGGGGTCGTCCTGCACTTTATCCTTGCTGCCGAAGAGCGGCTTTTCTGTGGTCTCCAGGCTTTCAGACATGCTGTGCTCGGCTGCCGTGGTGCTTTCTGCTGCCGTTGTGGCTGCTTCCGACTGCTCCCTCCTGGTCTCCTCGGGCAGCCCTCGAGTCGACACGGCTGGCTCACTGCCCTTCGCCTCCTTCGTCACCTCCAGGCGTACGTGGCTAAAGCACTGTTGCACTCAAGGACCAGGCGATGCAGCTGACACGAACATCCCCAAGGGTCCATGTACTCATACAGTATATACATTGGCCCCAAAGTACCTATATATGGACTACTTTAAGGCCAAAGTGTATACTATTTTGGTACTTGGACCCTTGGGGGAACATGATGCTCTGTCTCGTGAAACACAGGTGCCAGCAACCAAGATTGGAACTCCCTCCTAGTAGCGAACAGCGGCCCGCTGGCCTCAATCTTTCGTTCCAACGCCTCGTTTCCAGCTGAGAAATGGGCTTTGTGTAAACAGCACCGTCTATGCTGCGGAGGACAGGAAGTAAGCCCAAGTGTGGAAACCACCGAATGTTCATGACTTGTAGAAGCGCAAGAGTCAGCACATGATATAAGCTTTGGACGTTCCTGAGGCACAACACGACAGACCATACCTTGTAATCTTGTAGCTGATGCACAGCAACGAAGAATTGTCATTTCCATTCTGTTTACCGCAACCACCACCGCAGTCACCACCAGCAACCCTAAACCCTATAAGACACCCTAGACCCTAAACCCTAAACCAATAAAGCCTAAACCAATAATACGGACGGCATTTGTGACAACAGCCGCAACAGGACGGAGGATCAACGAACCAACACCAAGAACCCTCAACCCGACCCTGCTGGCCAATGCCCAAGAATAAGAACTGCGCGTTTAGGGTTTTCGGAGCCAAGAGCAACAACAATCATCATAGTAACACAATAACTACACTAATAACAACAATTTCAATCATAGCACTAATGACAATAATATCAATAGTGATAACAACAATTATGACGACAATAATGACAACATTAATAACAACAACAATAGCAAAAATAGTAGTTATAATTACAATCAAACCGCATTTCAGGGTCAATCTCCTTGGACTGGGCACCGGCACCTCGGCCGTCTTTTCGGCCTCCCTGGGCTTCGCGGCAGGTCTTCGGGGTGAGTAGGGTTTAAGGCTTTTTGGGTTCAGGGTTTAGGGTCTAGGACTTCTTGGGTTCAGGGTTTTGGGTTTAGGACTTCTTGGGTTTAGGGTTTCGGGTTTAGGACTTCTTGGGTTTAGGGTTTAGGGTCTAGGACTTCTTGGGTTCAGGGTTTTGGGTTTAGGACTTCTTGGGTTTAGGGTTTCGGGTTTAGGACTTCTTGGGTTCAGGGTTTCGGGTTTAGGACTTCTTGGGTTCAGGGTTTGGGGTTTAGGGCCTTTTGGGTTGAGGGTGCAGGGTCTCGGGGTTTTGCAGTCATCAATAACTGGATTGGGGGTTCAGGGCTTACGGGGTAATCTGCTAGAGGCAATGCGCCGATGTGAGGGACAGTCTCTTGGTTATCCTTTCTGTGCTCATGATCGTGTCAAGCGCAATATGGTCCAGGAGAAACAGGACTCATGCTCGCTGCTCACCCCGCACATGTTTTCCAATATTTTCCTCGATGTGGCAGCAAACAAATGAAAATGAAGAGCGGAGGTGGCTTGTCAGCTTAGGTCCTTTGCGACGCTCCGTTAACTTATTTCATTAAACTGAAGGTCCGTTGGAAGTCGTCACCCAGAAGCCTGAACTCAAACAATCCAGCAACCTGAACCGAAGCCGTAAGCCCTGCAACTTTAATGCAGAACACAAGAATTAGCCTAGTCTAGCCACCAGAACCCGAAACTATGAACCCTAAACCCTCAACCTAAACCCTTAAACCCTAAACCCTTAAACCAAAACCCGCTTCGTTCCATCTTGTTGCCGAGTCCGCTGCAAAGCTACGTTCCGACTCTCCTCGGATCATTGCAGCGGGTTTAGGGTTTAGGGTTATATCATGTTAGACTGCATAAAAATGGTGCTTTCAGCATACTAGGCTATATCATATTATGTCATGTCATAGGTGATTGTATGTTAAATTTTAAGCTGTTGGCCATATTATATGGTGTTGTATTCCACCGTGCTATCCTAAACTCTGTAATCGTGTATGAGGTGATATCATGTCTTTATTCTATGTTACGTTTCTTATGGAGTATTAACTTGCAGCCTATATCTTACTACATTTTGTTATAGCATATTCAAACATAATCAGCATGTATATTATACATTATGGCTGTTTTAGCCTATATATCATGCTACATCGTATACAACATGTGTATACATATATATATATATATATGTGTATATACATATATTACTGTATTAGTAAGGTTCGGTTACATAGTGCTACATTAGTGTACTGTAGCATAACTATCACAACCAAGCATATCATATATTACTTGCTTCTGCTATGCTGTCTGTATCGTATTATATCATGTTGTCATCTCATATCATAACTTATCATAGTAAATTACATTATAAGAAACTATGTTACAGTGCCGTATACTGCACAGTGTTAAAATGTGCAATGTTTTTACTTGCTTACATCATACTGCCATATACAATGCGATATTACATCATACCGTTTGATATCACATCAGATCAAACCCTATCATAACCGACATATCTTATTTTACATGTCTTTGCATATCATATCTTCTCAGATTCAAGCATTCTTCTACAGTCCAGTTACAAACTAATGTTTTATGTAATGTCACTGTGTGCTATACTATACCATGTTAAAATACATCTAATACTGCTCATTGTATCAATACGATCAATATTGGCATTATTTCTGTTCGTGTTGCTATGACTATTAATACTACTACTGCCATTTTTACCGTTACTATCATTATTGTTAGTACAAAGATTAGTACTTCTGTATGCACATGAGTACCAGTCTTGGAATGGGTATGACTCTTTACATGACTACTCATCTTGCTTGGATATTGATACATAGTATTGTAATGACAACAATTCGAACTGCCAGGTCTTTCCGGTACCTTCATGAAAGATACGGGCCTTAGTAATTCAATCAGGGTTGCGGGAGACTTTATTGTATAGTCTTAATGAGGAACCCTAAAGAATACCTTTTGTACTTACGCTATATATATATATATATACTCGGAACCCTTGTTGTCGAACCCCTGCCATAAATCCTAAACCCTGAACTCCGGGGATGCCAAGATTAGGTGATAGAAACTAACGGCCTTGGTCAATATGGACCCAAAATCGAGAGCTCCGCTTTCTATCATAGGGAACCCTGCCATCAGTCGCATGATCTTCGGAAATCCACACCTCAAAAATCTCCTGCTTCTCAGAAACGGCTAGAACTTCCGGGTTTCGGTTCAGAACCGTGAAGGTGCGTAACAACAGGGATCTTTCTATTTGGGGTATACACATACACCTTAATGGATGGAGAACCCATTTGGAACAACCTCCTGAAAACTGAACCCTGATTCAAAGCCTCAGGCAACCACCAAACAAGGGGTTTAGGGTCACAAACACTGCCCCCAAGCCCTAAGTCAGGAAAGTGTCCACCACATGTAGCTCTGCGACAGCAGCGAGCCGCTCAAGCTCACGAGCCTGCGGACGGCTAGCAATCGGCTTTAGGATGCACCACGATGATAATTAGTCCCGATAACACACGCTCTGAAGCCCTATCCCCTTAAACGCTCCCTAAACCCAAACCCTAAACCCTAAACCCTAAACCCTAAACCCTAAACCCTAAACCCTAAACCCCTCCTTCTTCACAGCATTCTGCTCCACTTTGCGAGCTTTGGCCACTGCGGCTTCGGCCTCTTCGACCTGGGCCATGAAATTGGAGCTTCTCTAACTTACTTCCCCAATAAGCCGGGGGAAAAAAAAGGGTTAAGATTACTACTACGGTCTATAGGGGGTTTAGGGTTTTGGGGGTCCTATAAGGGATCTTTAAGGGATCTATTATGGTAAACCCCCAAAAAATTGGAAACCGGTTTAAGGACAAATAGTGCTGGGATTCCCTATACATTACTCTTAAGGATGGAGGCTATTGGGTTTCCAACTTTTAGGCTTCTACTGTGATTATAACCCCAATTGTGGTACTTATAACCTTGCTTACTAAGTCCCATGATCCTCCAAGTACACCCCAAACCCCTCATAGAAGTCTGGGGTTATGGGTACTACCCGTA